ATAATGTAGAGAAAAATCCTTATACCTACTATTCTAATTCACCTATTATCTCATATGTTTTCATTCATAATTTTATCTCATTTGCTTTTTTTTTTTTTTAAATTGGTCGTTCATAACATTACATAGTTCTTAATACATCATATTACACGGTTTGATTCAAGTGGATTATGAACTCCCGCTTTTACCCCGTATACAATAATTTACTATCTATATGGGGTACAGACAGGTTTTTGAGAAATATTTTATAATTCATTGCTATTCTTAGTTATTTTAGTGCTCAAGTTTTCTTAGGTTTGGCAGTAGAGTCACTCCCTGAGCTCCTGGCCTCTGTCCAGCATGTTTTTGTTTTTGAGCACTTGCTATTCTTCATCTAGTATCTACCTGGCCCAGTCCTGGAATCAGCCATTTTTTTTCCCAAAGACCCCTAGTTCCTTTTAATGAAAAATGTCATGAGAGACCAAGTATGCTCCTATCTGCTGGAGTTGCCTTGTCTCTAGGTCCTTTCAACAGACAGAACTAGGGCATATGAATTTCTTTACTTGTACACATACTCCTATTGATTCATATGCTCATGTATCAATGTCTTGTTAAAAATCAGATATTGGGGGCTGGGATGTAGCTCAGTGGCAAAGCGTCTGCCTTGCATTCGCAAAGCCCTGGGTTCGATCCCTAGTTCCAAAAAAAAAAAAAAAAAAAAAGACAAAAAAAAATCAGATATTGGGCCTTACAACAAATATTTATAAACCCTGAGTTCCATTCCAGTCCACCCCTCAGATTTCTAGGCTTCCTCCATTCTGTGTTTCTCTGTCTCCTTTCCACAGTGAGAATTCTGGTTCTCGGCAACATTAACACGTTTACTCATCTGTTAAATCCTGTCATACATCTAAAATAGTTTCAGATTGTCTCATCCCTATCACTACCAAAGACAAAGAACAAAGCAAAACAACAACTTAAAAGAGCTCAGCATTTGTTTTTCTCCTTGCGCCAGTCCTGCCCAAGACCGTGTGCCAAAGTTTGTAAGCCACTAGAATTAGTTTTGTCTTTTCCCTTCAGGACAGTTATGGTATTTATTTGAAATACTGTCAGATTCATTTTTTTTCAATCCACTTTCAGTTTATGGGTATTTTCTCTCCATCTCATCCTTATTGATAAAGGACGAGAAATATAAGAAACTAATTTGAAGAACATTAACATATTCCAGAAGTCAAAACCACAGAAAAGGATACAGTTAGGAGTATTCCTCCATCCTTTATTTGGTCTACCCTGTTGGTCCTTGCCTCTTGTTTTCTGCTTCATCCRTCAGATATACACTACAGAATATGTGTTTCTTATTTTCCCTTCTTTCATGTGCAAAAGGGCAGCACACAGTTTGCACATTTTTGTCCAAGTACTGAYGTGAATTTTTCTGTCAGCTGGACACACCAGAACCAGACCCATTCTGATCCAGGATAAGTAGGCTCCTAGCATGAACAGTTTTTGGAATTTTGAATCACTTGCAAAAATCTAATCATTTCTGCTAATCTTTGTTGAATGTTTGCAGTAGTGACGGTTATTGAACCTCTTAGTCATGAACTTCTTTAGAAGATGATGAAATTCTATGCAAAACAGAGTGCCTTTTTTTCATCATCCACTGAGGTTGATRTAAGATGAAGTAGACTTGAGGCGAGAACAGTAAGTTTATTATGGTGGAAATGAGTTGTTTGCAACAGAACAGAAAGTGGTGCATTATTGATATGGGTATTCTGGCTCATCAGTCACTGTGAGCCCCAGGATCCCATGCATCCTTCTAAGCCTCTCCCAATTCTGGGAGGATCATGGTAGCTGAGAACCCATTCAAAGCTGTTCCTAGTTTCCCCCTTTGGTATTTGAGAAGGGTCTCCCAGTTACCTTTTCAATTTCTCTTAGGCCCCGATTTAACAACTAAATATTATTCATTTGAACTTCACATTTTTACCTACCATGCTTTGTGTATTTTGAAGCTTCATCTTACTGAATAGATCTTACCTAACCTTGGTGGAACAATAGAACAGGTATTATTGTATCTCTRTTTCAGCTCAAAAAATGAAAGCTCAGAGAATCTAGACCTTCACACTGAGAGCCATAAGTGGTCTAAGATGGCCAAGGGTCACCTAGGTTTATCACACAAAACCCACTTCTCTACCCTGCCTTGTAGGCAACAGATTGATGCCATATGGACCTCAGTTCTGTCTAAATCAGTAACCCGTTACCTACCTTCTAGGTACTGGGCTATTCAGAACTGTCTGAAATCAGGTGAGAGGATCTATATAAACAGCTTTGTTAAATGAACTTTCATATGGTTTTGATTTATTTTTTAATTTTTTGGTACTTAAAATTGAACCCAGGGATACTTTACCATTAAGCTACATCCTCATACATTTTTTTTTTTGAGATRACATCTGAGTTGCTGAGAGCCTCTTTAAGTTGCTGAAGCTGTCCTTGAACTTGCAACCTTCCTGCCTCAGCCACCCAAGTTGCTGGAATTATAGGCAGGTGCCCATCATTTAAATAAATGGGCCATAAACCAGGACTTAGAACAGTTTTTTTGTGTGTTTATTTTTTATTGATTTTTTTTAAATAAATGACAATGGAGTGCATTATAGTTCTTATTATACATATAGAGCACAAGTTGTCATATCTCTGGTTGTATATAAAGTATGTTCACACCAATTTGTGTCTTCATACATGTACTTTGGATAATGATGTCTATCACATTCCACCATCATTACTAACCCCCTGCCCCCTCTCTTCCCCTCCCACCCATCTGCCTATCTAGAGTTCGTCTATTCAATTTTTATTCTCRGGAATTTTAGTAGCTAGTAGGGTTTTACTCATGTTCACTTAACAGCCTAGAATATGCAACAGTGATGCAGCTTATTAGAGAAGGATTTTTATAGTTCTAATATAAACAAGTACATAAAATATGACAGCGAAGCAAAATTTCATTTCATAAAGTCTTCAAGCTTTACAGGGTAATTCTTCCACTATCTTTGTCATTTTTTCCAAGAATTCAGATCAGCTGTGAATCCAAAATAAGAATACCCTGCTTGTATATATAATCCTCTACATTTAGTATACTAARTCCAGAATCAAAACATGAAAAAGATTTGTGCTGGGATACTTTTTGATAAATGACAGAATTGAGGGCATACCTGCTCTTCACAATGAATTTCTTAAATTCTTAAAACAGATTATATAATGAATTGTCCTGTGGACACATGACATTCCCAGTCTTCCTGCTGTTGCCTCAGGATTTGAGTTTGGCTTGAATATGACATTTTCAATTTCAGAGTCTTTGAGTGAGCTCAGCCAGAGCCGAGTTATGCATTTCATATATCTTGAGAAGCCCAAGAAGTCTAGAAACCCCAGACCATTCTCTGGTGTATAGTTTGTGTGAGCAGCAAGACATTGCCCTCCAAATATCTTCCTTTTTGAGATGAAAAGGTGTCCTCTCTGGGATGGAGTGCCTTTGGGCGGGGAGGTCAGAGTACAGTCTGCTCACCTTCTCAGCCCCTGCCTGGTGCCAGCCATCTGTGAGCTGACTGCAGGATGCCCACAGCCTTGCTTTCTTCCTCACTGCCCAGAGGGTAGAGTGGAGATGGAGCAGCCCTACCAGGGCCAGGGATAGGTTCGGAGGTCCAAACGGTGGGGTGAGTGGGATCCTTTCTCATTGTGGGGAGAGGGTGGCACCTTGGCGAAGATTCTAGTTTCTTATCTGAAGTATGTGTGTCACTGGGTGTTCAAGTGTCTGTTCAGCCTCTTGAGGAATTAGTGTTTGAGGCAAGGGTATGGAGAGAGAGAGAGAACAGGGGTTTAGCTTAATGAAAGCAAGTCACGTTCCCTTTTGTCACTTAGCAAGTCTCTGAAAGGGAGATGTGCCGACTTTGAATTGGAAGGCAAGTGGATAGGAAGGCGGCAGTAACTGTGTCAGAATCTTGGGATCTGTGTGCAGAAACCTCACCTGCTCTCCTAGCAGCTTTTTAACTGTAAATACAATTAAATCCATTAACTTACATATTTTGGCRCCTGTAACAACTCACGGTTGGAAATGCAGATGATTCCTTGTTTATAAAAAATTGGTAATTGTCCACCTTGCTCTGACTTGCCTGAGCAAGTGTGGAGTTTTATGTACATATGTAGATACAGGGTTTCAGATACAGAAGGCAGAGTAAACAGCAAACACTTGGAAYATTGGCACATCTGCCAAAGACTTTCCAGGTCGGGTGTTCCCATAAATGGGCAACAAATTGTATTACCTCTTCGACTCCTATGGGGAAAACTTTTAGGGAAAGATTATGGTGAGAATCGAGGGTTAAGAATAAATAGTGCTTTACTAGTACTTGAGTTCCTGCCTGGGAATGGAGAACTAGGCTGCGAGTTGGGTCTGCCTGGACCCTGTTCACTGTTCTGGCCTGAAGCTGCAGGTGGTAGGGATGGGAGCCTCCTGTGTTTTGTGGGGAAGGGCTGCTTCCCTGGCAGGGCTCTTGATTGGGATAGAGGGTCAGCACACATTATAAATGCAAARTTTTGTCCAAAAATATTGAAGAAGCCTAAACCAGGTACTGTCTTTGGCCTCAGCTTGGCCTACTGGGGTYCCTTCTCTTTGAAGTGCAATGCCAGGTATCAGGAGGCTGTGGGGAAGGAGGTCATTTCTGAGGTGAGGCCCCTGGTGGGGAGTGTCAGAGGTCTGCTATAACAGYACATGGTGCTTCTGGCCTGGGTTCCTTAGGATCACTGTCATCCTGAATAACAAATGATGCATGTGTGTTGGTGTGGTCTCTGCTACTCTGACCCTCACAGTCTTGCTTAAGGAGACACTGTCTTCTGTCCTGTACACGTGTGTGGCTCCATTGCTGTGCTCATGTGGCTGTGCTCAGCACTGTGTGTCCTGCCACAAGGCCATTGTGCAGCGGGGCAGACAGCTCATGATGTAGGTCCCCAAGGATGTCCTGACGGGTGCTTGTTCTCTTTGGCTCCCTCAGAGAATTCTCAAAGGAAAGAGAGAAGGCTAAAGCGCGGGGAGATTTCCAGAAACTCCGGGAGAAACAGCAACTGGAGGAGGATCTCAAGGGCTACTTGGATTGGATCACCCAGGCAGAAGACATCGATCCTGAGAATGAAGAGGAGGGTGGAGAGGAAGGCAAACGAAATAGTAGGTGTTGCCTTTCTTGCTCCCGGCCAGACCAACCTGATGTGCCCTTCAGTCACCCGCAGCAGGCCCTCCCTGCCTCTGACCTGTCTGTACGTAGAATAGTCTCCTCCCAGCCATGCTGTCCCCTCTGCCTGCACAAATCATAGAGGGAAGAAATGTGTTTATGTCAGCTTTGGGTTTGTGCCTGAGTTTGGGATTTAGATGTGTGTTTAATAAGGTGGCTTTGTAGTTGAAGAGGGTCAAACACTTATTCTATGGGCCTCAGAAATTTCGTGAGCCCATTTTTGCATGGGCATGGATCAGGGTCTGCACTGAACATGGCTTTTCTCGCCTGAGAGTGAGCAGTATCACTGGACAAGGATTTGAAGAGCAGGGTACCCCTTGACTCTTGTGTTACCTGGAGTGGCTACCCACCTGTATTATCTGTACAAAGCTGAATGCTGACATCGGGCAGTTCATTGTGCCAGGCAGTTGTTAAAAGGCCTGTTTCACAATCCACCTGCCTGGAATCCCACACTGAGACACTAGGTGCTCTGAAGTGATTTCTATAGGATGCAAGGCCTGATAGCCAGTCAACCACTGGAATTAATTGCCATTGTCAACCACGGTGTCTCCTTTGCTATATACTTTTCTCACAGACATGCTCTTGTTCTTCCATTTGTGCTCTGGTGAAGGTAAAAATTGAAATCCAACAGTGGTTTGACTATACTGCTTGTGATTTGTTTCAAATCCAGAGTAGTTGAAAGTAAGGACTGAAAACACATTTCAAAGGTACATGTCCATTGAGAGGCATAGGAAACTGAGTTCAGTTCTACCTTTTGTAAAAGATGCTAAGATGCTACCGAGATGAGCCTCTTGGGGTTGTAGTTTGTTCCCTTTCTAGAAAAGGAAGGCATGCTTACAAATAAATGCAGTGGAAGAAGCCAGAGCCCCAGGGCACTCAAGGAGACAGATGTACTGCAGGAACTAGGAGGAGAATCTAACATAGGGCCGGAACATTTGACCCAGGCCTTGAAGGATGGACCGATCTGAGGAATGACTGTTCAGTACTGACTCAAGGGAACAACAAAAGGTGAGCAGCAGCCAKGGCTCAGGGAGGGTGGGATGGGCTCTTGGGCTAGAGCACAGAGGGTATGAAGGTCAGGGTGAGCCAGTGGGAAGAATAGGAGAGGCAGATTTGTGCCTCTTCTGTAGGCAGCAGCACGTGGATACCCTGGCTGAAAGGACTCTTGACTGAGATAGCCTTTATGCTTCTTCTAGTCTGGGACTCTGTGAGTCTATGCTATCGGAGAGGGTTTGGTATTATCCTGGGTTCCTACTACTGACTAAAACCTATGTACTGACTGGGGGGTTAGTAGAGTGCAGGTCACCTCCTCTGCTCACCTCTCTGCATCTACTCAGATGCAGGAAGAAGTCAGGGCTTCAGTCCTTGAGGATTAGGAAATGGCTTCCAGGAGACTGGGAGGATTTATAGAGCTGATTGTGTTTGTTGAATACCAGATTAGAGTGGATAAATGAACATTTGAGTTCCAAATTCAGTGATGTGTCTACTAGGTGATTAGATACAGAAGAGTGTGAGCATATCTTCAGCACATTTCTCTGTGAGTGACTGAGCCAAATTGAACCCTGTGGCCCTTGCAGTGCTTCTGTACCTGCAGTATTGCTGGCAACAAGCTGTCCAGGTGAAGCCTGGGGATGCCTACTCGGCCTTCTCTTCATTTATAGACTGTGGCTTGGATCCTAACATGGGGAGGCCCACCAGCCACCTACTTCACCCACTCCAGAGAAAGTGCTGTCCCTCTTCTCCGAAGAGCACCTTTCTTTGCTAGTTTAGGTATATCCCATGGGGAGCCAAGTGAGGCCATCCCAGGTGCTGATGCCTGTCATCTCTTTATTGCTCCACTAGAACTAGCGATCTAGATTTTAGTGCAGTTAATGTCAGTTGTGGTGGAGTCATTTTCATGGTCAGTGTCTTGATCTGTTTTCTGAGGTCTTGTCTTCTGGTAGTCCTGAGGGTTCACAATTTTATCTGAGCCAAGTATTTCCTTCCACTGTCTGTAAAGAACCTACCTATGGGATGACCAAACCAATGCCTTTGCCTTTCAGAGAAGTTACCATTGGAGGGAAGATAGAGAAGGCAGTGACTTATTACAGTACTAAGGGTAGACGTTGTCACCATAATCAAGGAGCAGCAGCAATCTGCAATACCAATCCGGAAGGCTCAGTGATGCTGGCTGGCATGAGTGGGTGGGTGGGCGGGTGGGTGGAAATGCAGGGAAGAGGTAGCATCCTCACTGAGCCCTGAGGGATATGCACCCTTTAGCTGTAGAAGGTGAGGTGGAGTGGGGTGGGGGCAGTTCAAGCTAAGGAAATGAGACAAAGAAGGCGTGGAAAATAACAAATATTCGAAGCCCTTCAGTGCATTACTTTGTTTCTTTCATTGATAGTATTACTAAGTCCTTGGAAAGTTGCAGATCTTCAGAATTAACCAGAACTGGGTCTTACAAGCCCATGAAGCTGCAGTGTGTCTGCAGAACATCAGAACTATGGTTTCTGCTGTGCACAGTGACGTGTGACTCAAAACGATTAGCTTAATGTTTGATCTAGAATTGCAAATATTTCTTTGGCGCACCCTTGTTCTTTGGTGAGCTCTCTTTCCCAGGTGCTGGGGTTTCCTGTAGAGTGAGGCTCATGGTGTGTGATGCTTTCCGAGTTGTCAGTTTGCCAGAGCCTYGGTGATCGGGGTTTGAAATGCACAAATCCTAGGCTGAGGGAAGCGTGTTGAGATCTAACTGACTTGAGGGCACCACATCTCCTGATGAGGAAGAAGGGGAGCCTCCCTGATTACAGAACTCATTACCTCAGGATTTCTGAGGAAGTCAGTGCTGGTGGAGTTTCCCTGGGGCCTCCCAGGCTTGCCAGCTGCTTTCTTTCTATCACAGCCAGAAAAACACAGGGGGCAAGGGTTAGTTTTGGCCCTAACCCTTGTGTATACCTGGTCCCTGGCTATAGGCAATAGAAACAAGGGTGTTTTGGTGTCAGCACCCTCCTYAGGTGTGTGAGATCCACCCTCATGTGCCATGTTCCCCAGTCTTGCTCCTGTGTTATCTCTGGGAAGAGGGACAGTACACTGCCTGGGCTTCCTGACTCCCTGCTGGTTTAAGATGTTGCTTTGGCTGACAGTCTTTTTCAGCTGGGTCTTAGATATGAGTTGGGCAGTTTCCTCCCAGATATTTTGAGGAATTCTGTGACAGTGTGAGAAGCCTTCCTGGTAGCTGAGCCTCAGCCTAGCTGAGCAAAGGAGTCACTCACAACAGATAACTGTGCACTTATAAGAGGCAAAGACTTGGGCTGCAAGGCATTTTAAGGCCCTTTCTCTGGAAGTGGCTGAGTTTTATGACATGGGATTTGGACTTCAGTGATAGGAAAATTACCCAACATCTTGGAGTGCCATTTTCTTGGTTGCAAGGAGCTGAAGATATCTACCCAAGGCACCATTAAGAGAATTAGATGTTCAGTAACAAGCAGGTGTTGAAATAACTGTGGCCGAACTTGCTGCTGCTCTTGTCATCAGACTTGAGGAAAGTTTGGCCTAGCTGAGTATTCTTAAAGATTCTACTAGACCTCTAAGCAACCTCAGGGTGAGGACCCTTTTAAGGACCTGCTGCTCCAAACTTTTCTTCAGAAGCTATACAGTTCTGAAGTATTGAGAGAACACAAACCTACTGACTTGGTCACTTCTGAGATATGGTAGCACAGCTTTCTGGCTCTTGAAATCCATTCCCAGTTTTTCAGTGATTTGTATCAGGGAACAGATAGTCAAATTGAGTACTCAGAGATGTGCTTGCATTATCTCCTCCCTGTTCTGCTCAATGTCACTTGCTGCATCTGTGGTGTCCATCTCTGGCCGTATATTAYGATCACCTGGGGGAGCTGGAGCCTTCCTGGTGCCACATTTCACCCTAGGCCTCTGCTTCATTCTGGGACAGGAGTCAGGGGTGGCTCTTGTATTTTAAGCTCCCTGGGGRGTTGCATGTGTAGCTTAGACTGGGAACTCCTCTGTCATGAATGTATCAGTGACTGACTATCTCACAGACCCAAGGACTTACTTGAGAGGAAAAGAGAGGCAATTAGGTCCTTAACTGAGCTTTCTGATGACTCTAGTGACAAGGAGCTCTATTTTATGCATTCTTGGACTATTAAAAATGCCAATTCTGTAAATTTGCTATTAAGAGAGCTAGTGCTACACAATTAATTGAGTGGACAAAAATTCCCTTGGAAATTGGTTCCTGAGTATTTGGGGAATTTTCAAGGATAATTTATTTAACTTTTTGCTGAGCTTCAAGTTTCTTAAGAAACTCTGCCAAATTGCACAGTGATTTTTTAGATGTACGCAGCTGCTTCTGAGTTAACAATGGAGTTTTTCTAGGGCCATTAAAATCTGGAAGCCTCAAATTCTATTTTAAACTCTTCTCATTGTCAGTGATTAGTCTTTAAAAAATAGCATTAAAATAATGAAATCATTTTAAAGAGCTCATTCTAAAATTCTGACACCCCCCGCAACACCTCCCCCAACAACATATTGTAAGAACATTAACAATACTTGATGTCCAAAGAAAGGATGGGATACCTGAAGCTCTCACTGCCCACAAGGCGTGCCTGTTCATCTGCTGCTTTCTCTATGGTCCTAGAGGCTCTGAGTGTGTCCCCTGCTGCCGCCCACTGGCATCTGCCAGTCCCAGGACTTGGTACACAAAGTGGCCCTAGTTGCCTGCCTTTTGCCTGTTGGTACCCAGATACCTTTTCCTACTGTGTGTTCTTCATTTGTGGGTATGAGACCTAGGGATGGCAAGCTCTTTGCAAGTGCAAGGAATAGCAGTTTCCTAGTCCTTTTTTAAAAGATCGTGTTTAAAATTTTTGATTCATAAAACTGCTTTTGTCACAAACGATCTAAGGACTCAAGTCCAGAATTGAAAATACTGAACGCAAACAGTGGCAGA